CTTTTATATAAGTTCATTAGACATTTTGTGTCACTACCCCATGTAGTGCGTGAGAACTTTCAAAATGTTCATTGTTTTTAAGCACCTTTGTTTTTAAGCACCTGTCTTTTAAATACTTGATGTGTGAAATGAAGGTTAGTTTTCTGTCTAATATTAGTCTAAGAAACTTGTGCTCAGTCTTCACTGACAGAAGTTGACCATGCAGGTCAATGTCGGGGTTAGGATGGATGCCCCCTTTTTCGGCTGAACAAGACGTAAGTGCTCTTTTGCGCATTGAGTATAAAACCATTCTCATCTGCCCATTGAGATAGATTCCTTGTTCAACCCTAGTTGAACTTGACGGTGGCACAGTGAGATGCTGCACAATTTGACACCAATCTGTACATCATCGACATATATGCAGTAAAAGATATTACGGGGGAGAGACAGGTGCAAGGAATTCATTTTAACTATGAAAAGTGTGCAGCTCAATACACCTCCTTGCAAAATAACAAAAACGCCAACCAAGGTGAAATACACAAAACTTGGTCGGCGTTTTTGTTATTTTGCACTATGTTTGTCCCCGACCAGACGGGATTCCGCCGGACTCTTGACAATACACCTCCTTGTGGCACTCCTGTTTCTTGGACAAATATTCGAGACAAGACAGTGCCAACTCGGACAGGTAGCTTTCGATGATTGTCAGCATTCTACCCCGCACACCTAAATGTGACAGGTATCGCAATATGCCAAAGCGCCATGTAGTGTCATATGCCTTTTCCATTTCGAAGAACGCAGAAAGAAAAAATTGCTTATGAACAAAAGTGTCGCCAATTTGTGCCTCGATACGAACAAGGTGGTCGGTGGTGGACCGAGCTTCTCGAAACCCACAATGGTATGGGTCAAGTAGGCCATTAATTTCAAAGAAGTGCATCAGGCGCCTGTTAATCATTTTCTCACAGACCTTGCAAAGACAGCTGGTTAACGCTATTGGCCTGTAGCTGGAAACTGAGGCCGGGTCCTTGCCTTGTTTTAGAATTGGGATGATAGTTTCCTTCCAGGCTGAGGGTAGCTCGCCGGAAGACCATATCGCATTGTACAGAGGGAGGATAGCTTTCTGGCTTTCAGTGGGCAGGTGTTTTAACATTTCATATGCCACACATTCCGGGCCTGGGGTAGATTTATTGCAGCAGGTGAGTGAGGCTTGTAGTTCAGCTAAGCAGAAATGTTCATTGTATGCCTCATGTGTTGCGAGTTCGCGCTCTAATCTCTATTTTTCTATTCTGGTTTTGTATCGTCGGAACGCCTCACTATAGCGTGATGAGCTGGAGACCTGCTGGAAGTGCGCCGCAAGAGTGTTCGCTTGGTCTTCCAAGCTCTCCCTTTGTGTGTTCACTAGAGGAAGTGTGTGTGCTTGTCGTCCTGCCACCTTACCAACTATGTTCCAGACTCTCGCCTCATCTGTGTATGAATTTATGCCTGATAAGAATTTATGCCAACTTCCTCTTCTCGCCTGTCGGAGCACCCTACTTCTTTGCGACTTGATCTTCTTAAAGTTTATAAGATTCTCGGCTGTAGGCGAGTCTCTAAGCAACTTCCATGCCTTATTTTGTTCTTTGTGCGTATTACAGCACTCATTATTCGACCATAGGACTCGTCGTCTGCCTGATCGTCCACATGTTTGTGGTATACCTTTTGTTGCAGCATCAATCAAAAAGGCTGTCAGGTAGCTCACAGCAGCTTCTACGCTTAACACCCCCATGTCAGTCCAAGTTAGGAGAGTCATTTTTTGATACTGTTCCCAATCGGCTTTGTCGGTGAGCCATTTGGGAACCTGTGCAGGACATGTATTTGTTATTGATGTGCTGATAATGATAGGAAAATGGTCACTACCGTATGAATTATTAATGACTTCCCATTTAAGTAGAGGCAGGAGAGATGGGGATGTTATGCTGAGGTGTATGGCTGAGTACGTATTGTTAGCGATGTAATATGTTGGCTCTTTCCGATTCAAGAGGCACGCACCGGAATAAAAAAGGAACTGTTCAATCAGACGACCTCGCACATCGGAGCGAGAGTCACCTTAGAGGCTAACATGCGCATTAAAGTCCCCTAGGACAAGATAGGGTTCTGGAAGTTCGTCTATGAGGGACTGGAATTCATGCTTTTTAAGATGGTGTTGTGGAGGTATGTACAGAGAGTAGATGGTGACGAGCTTATTTAAAAGAACTGCTCGAACAACCACCGCCTCAAGGGATGTTTGTAGTGGTAGGTGTGTGCATGCAATTCCTCGACTATAATGGCAACACCACCGGATGGCACATTGGCATAATGTGCTTTGGTTTCAAGTGTATTTCTTGCACACACACCACTTTTGGTGTATGTTCGTGTAAGAGCTCCTAGATATCATCGAGGTTTCTCAGCAGTCTTCTTACGTTCCAGTTTAGTATTTGTGTCATTTTAGTGTTGTGTGGTGCTGTGTGTACAAAAGTGTTGCCTTAGGTTACACAACCTTTTGGGGGCCCTGTAATTCGGGTTTTTTCTTTCCTGGAGCGCTCCAAAGAGTTGCGCTTATCCTTCGGCGTCTGAGGCGCCGGTGGAGTCGTACTTGTATCCATCGCCTCTTGTGAGGTGGTGAATGGTGCCTGCTCGGCAGGCACATTCACAGAACTTTCGGACATAACTACGGTTGCAGTGGTCCGAGGTTCAGCATACACGGTGGTCTGCCGGCCCTGTTTGTCAGGTGGCGGAGCAGTACAGGCTGCTCTAGCCGGAGGCGCTAGTGGAACGACGGCGGCCACACTCTGTGTGGCATTCGCGGGTGCAGAAACATGCGGCGCGGCGCCCCGGCGCGTCACATCTGCAAAGGAGAGATAAGAGGGGTTGTGCAGTGAAAAACATTTAGGTGCTTCTTGGAATGACAGATTGAACCTGACCTTGAGTTCTACTATTTCTTTCTCTGTTTTCCATGTGGGGCATGAACGTGAGTAGGCAGGGTGATTTCCTTCACAGTTTGAACAATAAGGGTCTTCTGAGGGGCAGTCGTCCGATATGTGTTCAATGGATGCACACTTTGAGCAAGTGGATCGCCCTCTGCAACTCTGCGATCTGTGCCCGAAACGTTGACACTTGAAACATCGACGAGGATTGGGATATATGGTCTGACACGAAGCTTACAATAGCCGGTTTTAATTTATTCTGGTAAGCCACTAGTACCAAAGCGGACTATTATGTGTTTGGTGGGTGTTTATTTCTTGTCTCGTCATATAATGATTCTCTGTACCTTGACTACATTCTGGTCTTACCAGCCTTCTCATAGTTCACTTTCTGAGAGTTGTAGAATGTCATCATCAGAAATGACGCCGCGTACTACTGTGTTCATCAACCTGTGTGGGCCCACGGAAACAGGGGTTTCTACAAATGCTGCAAGTTTGGACAGCTTCTCATATTGAGCTTTGTCACGAACCTCCAAAAGGAGATCGCCACTTCCCATCTTTGCGACTTTATAGCCTGGACCTGCTGCTTCGGTGAGAGTTTTTGGACACAAGAAAGGGTGAAATAGTACGTACTGTCTTCTTTTCGTCCTGGCTATAAATAACATGGTACTTTGGGAAGGTTGTTTTTGGCGTGTTGAGCATGAAAGTGTCTTCGGTGTGCCATCTTTTCAGGAAGCGATCAGGAAGGGGGGGAAAAGCATTTGCCAAAAATTGACTATAAAGTTCGGCAGTGGTACCAGCCACCCACCACCGAACCAAACCAGGGGACGTGGCAGGAGATGCTGGGCAAGTCCTGTCGACGCCAGCTGTACAGCGCTGCTATAACCTAGTATAGAATAGCCAAGACTGGGTATCCACACAAGGTTAACCCTTGCCACCAGGAAATTTGGAAGTACACGGAAAAGAGAAGATGACAGGACAGATAAAAAGTGAGAGATAAAGACGAAGATGTCGGGAGAGAGAGATAGGAAAAGACGACTGCCGGTTTCCCCTGGGTGGGTCAGCCCAGGGGTGCCATCTATGTGAAGCCGGGGCCAAAGGGGTGTGTTGCCTCTGCCAAGGGGCCTTAAAGGTCCAAGCACTCAGCGTCAGCTCAACCCTTAGGATCCCCCTTTCCCCGGACACGGCTCAGCCACGCACGGCTAGGCGTGGGAGGGAGACCACTCCCCCCCCTCCCCCATTAGCTCGGGTCCGTGGTGTCGCTACACACCAAAGGCCTGCTTACGCAGACGCCCCTGCGAGGCCAAGGAAGCTGTCCCTTTTCCTAGACAGGTATCGCACGTCGGTGCGGTGCTGAAAAGCCGTTGAGGAGGCCTACACACCGTCCCCGAACGGTAGTGGCAGTGACGGCAGATGAGAAAGTGGCGAGGAGGCCTAGACGCCATCCTCAAGCTGCACGGTGCCGGGTGCTTGGGACGAAGAACCGTAGATGTAGGGGGTTGTCTTTGTCAACTGTGCTATTGTCGTGAAGAAATAGACACAAGAGACAGCACCCCTGCTGCGGGCCGGCTGTTGATATTTTACTTTGTCTTCCTCTGCTTTCTAGTCTACCATCTAGCACGCGCCCGCGCCCCAGTGGCGCTGTAATCCTTACAGTATATATATATATATATATATATATATATATATATATATATATATATATATATATATATATATATATATATATATGTAACCTTGCTCTTTGTCCTCCATTTATGATCGGAGTATGTTTATGTTCAGTGTTTTACTGAATCCTGGACGTGAAAATACCACCCAAATATCGGCAGCATATAGCAAAAATAACTGTTAGAGGGAACAACGACCGCAGCGGCATATTTGTCCATGGCGTTGCCTTGCAGGTCTGTGGCTCGATGTACCACCACAGCGGCCGGATCACAGTGTAAGCTAAATGAAAAAAAAAAAGGTGTGTTTCGCTGGAGAATTTTCGGCACACAAAATTATTTCCCCATGCTTCGCAATCAGGTCGTAGCTTGGTCACGTTACAAAACATTAAAGTTAATTGGACGGACTTAAACAATTGTGTAGCTGTAAAGATGGTATGTTCATTCTTGTTTAATATTGGAACACATGATCATCGTTCTATAGCAATATGTAAACCCTACTGTCACCTTCGAAATACAAGTATATGCTTCATTACTTCTCTCGATTCTCCCTCTTCATTCCTCCAAGGCAAGGCGGCGATTTTCTGGTCTCGGATTGCCACTTGTCCGGCGTTGAAGTCTGAAAGTAATGAAAGAACGGTGTAGTAATCGATTGTTGAACAAACAAAAATTGTAAACACCAAGTAGCGTTTCTGAGAACTCGACGTTACAACTGTGTAAGCAAACGAACTGCAAAGCACTACATTTTGAAGCAAGCATCAACTTTGTAGTGAAATTCAAGTAATATAGAGCATTTGACCACAGGCTGAAATCAGCAAGGTTTTCACTCCTTGCCGCTCCTAAGACATACTTACTTGGCGACATCAGTCAATCGGCGATCACGATACATCTTAACCATCGCCTTTATTGACGCAAAACAAAAAACGAATACCAAAGAAACGGCAAAAATGAGAAATGTAATAGTGCCCACAGAGCTGCCCTTAGTGATAACAATAAGGCCACTGTTGTGCAAACGAAGTAACTTAAGCGAGAAGATGCACAGCCACTATACATCAATTGAACTAAGTCGCGAGCAAAGCTGGTCGCGAGCAAAGCTGGTCAGCATGGCTTCGTTCTCCTGGCTAATCTTTGAACCTCGCATCTCCCTCTTTCCCACCCTTGCTACACTACACTATATACAGCTGTGCTTGCTTTCTTTTTTTTTTGCGCCTGTGTCTTCTATTTCTTTCTATCTATGTCTATTTGCTTCTATTTATTTTCCTCACTTTCCTCTGACTCATTCCTTTTATGAGCCACCGCTATTTCACCATCTATCTTTGCTTTTTCCATTTCTTTCTATTTCTCTTTCAATCCATCCTTTCTGTACCCATTCTCTCCTCTTTTCTATCTTCTTTATACTCACTTCCCTTTGCAACCCCCTTGCTATTCTATAATACACAAGGCTCTGCTGGCACCTCTGGATAAGTGAGTGATTATGACGACCACCTTTGGGTCGTGGATAGCGTCAGACAGGTTCAAATCTGGCTTCCCAAGAAATTTTTTTCCACTAGAATTTCTCTCCCTCTCTTTTTTTCTCCTTGTACTCATTCTCTCGCATAACGGAGCTACTGCATTGCCCGCCGGGCAAATCGGCGCACATGTTTTGGGAGAAGTGGGAAGGTAACGAAGAAGAGGATGCAGAGAATATATGCGCAGTTTAATGATAATGATAGTTGTTCATCTAAGACACACGGCAAATATTAACCTCCAGCAGCTCTTCTGTAAAAAAGTGGCTCTACAATAAACCAGGAAAAAAATAAAATAAATACGAATGAAATGACCACAACGACAGCCAATAAATCAATAGAGGAGTGAATCATCAGTAAACGAATTCTTATTAAGCCGCTTAGACGGCATGATCGTCGTTAAGAAGTATGCGTGAGATTCGATTGACGCATGTTCATGACTTTTAAAACACGTGTGTTCGAATATGTCCGCATCGAACGACATGGCGCTTGTAACATTCTGTGGAGTCACTATTTGTCATTGCTGAAAACCGAGCCGATCAATTGCCGTGATCGATTTGAGATACAAGTTGTCGTAACCAACATTTAGCGTACCCTGACAGGCGTTCTACCCATATGACTCCGCCTATGCATCTCTGCTATGAATGTAAAATTGCAAAGCGTTGGCAAAAAAAATTGCAATATATACAAACCTCAACTGAGAGGGCGTGAACAGGATCCTTCAGTTCTTCTTTCAGTGCAGTGTACACCATGGCGTGTTGCTGTAACGTGTGGAGAAGAAAAACAAAGCAAGACAGCTCAGATGTGGATATAGTGGATAGCTGGGGCTTATGCGAGTGCTTGACTAGCTACAGCAATGCATGTCATAGTGACATTTTTTAAAAAGAGCCATCTTCTTCTTGAGAATACAATAAAGCCTTTCCGACCAGAATATATTTTCGCACATAGCTGACGTTTCGTGTACATGCTCGAGGCCAGACCATGCACTAAAGAATCACGGATGCACTTGTAAATCTCACTACATGATCCATTCCTGGCTAACTGCTTGCAGGTGACTTCACTACGTGATGGAAAACTGTGAAGCAGGGGTGAGATTGTTTGTTGGATAAATTTCTGTAAGCGGAGGAGGATTGACGGCGGTCTGATGTAAAAAAATAGATGCCTTATGCGCAGCCTTACAAGTAGGACACTACATATTCTCTGTAACAATGCACCTGTCATGAAATAGATCTAGTTGTTGTAGTCACAATGACCCAGCATATAAAATAGGAAGGACGAGGGTATCTGATATGCATTTCGAACATTTATTATTAAAAAAATCAAGAAATCGCTTACATAAAGGCTTCTCGGACACACTGGCTTATCAGCAATTGAACCACCAAACCCAAATTTGAGATAAAAAAATGTTCTTCCATGTATATTGATAACCCTGAATATAGATTGTAATGAATGAGACAAGAGACAACACCCATTCACTGGGCCAGCTGTTGATGATGATGATGATAATGAAAGCCTAATGATGAATTCCACTGGTAGATCCGGAGCAGCCGCCGAAATCCTGGAGCGAGCACTCGGATTGCGCCAAGCCAGATCTGCGAGTGGAACATGTGAATGCCCTGCCTGAGGTCGTGCCGAAAGTTGTCTGCACATACGCCAATAAACCAGTCTTGAAAACTTTCTCGACATAGCCGATTATCTTCGGTCGAGACTTCGGCCTTGCACACGGCAGGAAAGCACGTGCAGCTCGTCCTCGCTGCAGCTACTAGTGCTCTCACTGTCGCTCAAAGCGAGAAGCAAACCAGCAGCAGCACATTCAACAACAGCATCAAACAATGCCATTTCAGAAATGTAAACCCGTGCAGAGGGCACCGCCTCGAAAAAGAAAAACACCACTCATGGCAGCTCCAAGGCAAGGCGTCATTTCCAGCACAGGCGCTGCCCGCCTGTGCTGGAAATGACGGCAACACAGTCTCGGAGTTCCAGTGAAATTCGTCTCTACAAGACGGAGCACGCGAAACGCTCCGTCACGAAGTGAGTTGCTCCTAATCTGCTAGTGGAACACACTAACTTGCTTCGAATCTACCAGTGGAATCCAGATTCTTGGCCGTGGAGTAAGAAAACTTGGCCCCGCTCGATGAGTGAAATTCGCCATAAATGTATGGCTCACACCCATTCTGAAAGACAGGCCAAGGAACGAATAATAAGATAGAAGGAATCATAGACTAATTGTAAATCAAATAATTATAAAATGGTTAGTTCTTTAACTTCATTATCTTTCCCTGGCCGAGCATGGGCCAATGCCCCGCTTTGTCTTCATCACAAAATATACAAGCTAGTAAAAGAACACAACCAAGCCGGTTAGGATTGAGAGGCGACTTGAGATGCAATTGTACCTCAATATGACACGGAAACACGGGCAACTTCCTACTCACCTGCACTAAACTTTTACCCTCGAATGCGGACGACACCACAGTCACTCGGAAGTGCGTCTCCGATCCTGTGAGAAAGGAAAGGAACTTTGCAGCGACTACATAGATTGACCGTATCACACACTACGCGTACACTGAATTACATGTGACGCGGAATACTAGGAAGCAGGTATATACACCGTTGCATCGATTACGGTAGGACCTTACAGGTAGTAATAATTTCTGGAGTCTTACACGAGTAAAAACAGCGGCCTGATTATGAAATACGCCACAGTGGGAAACTCGGGATTAATTTAGACCACTTGGTGTCCTTTACCGTGCACCTAAACCTGAACACACGGGTATTTATTGCATTTTACTGCTCGAAAGGCAGCGGTCGTGGTTGGGACTCGAACCCGCACCCTTGGCTTGATAGTGCAACACCTCACGTGGCACCACAGCAGGTAGCACTCAACAACTCTGTTACAGTTAACCATAACTCAGTGCAGGTGTGAAACTAATGACTGGTCACTGGCTTACTTATCCATCTTTGGTTATCGACATTCTATCACTTTGTAATTACACAACATTGAATAGCCAAGGGAGGTTATTAAAAGGCATTCATCTATGCAGCGTCATCAGCATTGGCATTATAACGCAATAAAAAAAAACTGTGGGCAACTTGCACTGGTGATGCAAGGATGGATTAACAGCGGAGCTTCTGGCCAACCTATAGATTATTAACCTGATCCTCAGTCCACCTTCTTCATTTTCCCAAGCTGCCCTCTGACGTTTTGGTAGGGGCTCAGAGAACCGATATTGCTAGAACGAAAGGCTCCGTAGACCAGGAGACGTTTCGTGCCATTGCCGATAGGAAAGGGCGCATATCTGCCATGGCATCATGAAAAAGGTGCATTAGCATGGTCTTAAAGGGCCACTCACCAGGTTAGACAATTTTGAGCTGACAAGCGCAATGCGTAGACGAGGCGTTCATGATCACGTCTGCAAAAATTTGCAACGCTACGCGCCATGGAAATGGGTCAAATTACAAGATGAACGCTGTTCCCCCTCCCCTCTGCCGGCTCACGCCTAGAGAATGAGGGCATAACGTGGGCATATGAATGGCCCTACGTACACGGCAATGTAATGACGTTGGTCCTCCACGTAGACGAATCTGCTCTGACGTCAACAGTATACCACGTGACATGGCAAAAATTATTTAACACAGAATGCGTAGTTTATGTATTTTTTGTTTTAAGAGACTAATAAAACTTGAAATAAATAATAAGACGCAATGAAAAATTGCGCGCGTTATTTTTTCATTTTTTCCCGTGAAATGCTATGAGATGCGGGGCTAATGTGCCAGCCTTTCGCATGCGTTCGTGTCCCCGCGGTCTGCGCATTGAGCATACGACCGCAGTGGAACGCTCCTACGCGTTCGCGCACTCATTGTGCTCATTTACTCTACCGCGTCTAAGCCAGCATTTCCAAACCATCCAGCAGAAATAGACCACAAAATAAGGCTGGTCAACAAAGCAACGCGGCTTGCGTGCTCGGGGGTTGGACTTGTTTGGGCACGTCATGCGCACGTCACCTCATGGTCGGATGTTGGAGATGGTGGGGAAGAGATTTGGCTTGCGAAGGCTACGCGGAGGAGTGGCAAGGGTTTCAAGCTCGCCTCCTTTCATCCTCGTTTCGCGCCGCTTCAAAAAACCTGCTTTCTCCGCTCGTGATGAACCAATTCAAAAAATTTTTGTAGCAAAATGTTCCTTATCAGACACCCAACAACTTCCACTGTGACTAAAATTCGGTATGGGGCCTGGTGAGTGGCCCTTAAGGTTCGAATTACTAAAGTCCATTACCTCTTGCTGTTCCTGCATCTTTCTCTCACTCCTTTTTCTTCTGTTTATCTGTTCGAGGCATGATTCAGAGATCTGCCCATTTTTTAGAAGGTGCACACATAAAATAAATGCATATCCATCGTGTAAACCTCACACGCTGATTACACGCCTCATTACCTGCCACACTACTAAGTGATGCATACCTCGCCAAGAGCAAACAGTCTTTACTTATACTCAATCTGAAGATGAAAAAGAGGATGAAGAGTGAGTGTGCTGGCCGAGTATTAGATTACATACGCTATAGGACTCACGCTTCATCGTCCATTAAACGAGCTACAGCTGGTCTGGGATGGCTGTTCTTTTTATCACAGCCGCAAGATGCGGAGGCTTTGCTGTGCATGAGTACACGGACATATTCTAGTCTTGCTGGGCTATTTATCCAAGACCAGACTCATGACCACCTATCAAAGGTGCCGGGGCGTTCGTCCCATTTTATTTCCACCGCTTGCCAGATGTAAGTCCTGGCCATTCAGTGCCAGGGGCCAGCACAGTAGGCCTGTGCCCCCCCTCCTCCCCGAAAGGTTTTTCACCATGGTATAGAGAGCAAGAAATGACCATTTCAAGGGGCTGCCCTCCCTAAAATCAAGGAGGTGCTTCCTCTCCCCCGCAGAAAAAAAATTGCTGGCTACGCGCTTTTTCCATGCTGCCGTAACATGCGGCTTTGCAAGGTGGCATTATGAAATAATGCAACAGGGACAAATACAGAAAGCAGTTTCTACAGCACTATCTTGGACAACTTTTGGCCCAAGATTGGCGAATATCGAAGAATATATGGCAGGATACTGTTTTTTTACCTTTGGGAACGTTGTGCATGTGGCTTTCATTTTCAACCAGGAGTTCTTGCGGCTGCGGGAAGAGAACAAGAGAATAGAAAAGCTTCTTGCATTGAACGTGAAGTCACTAAAAGAATATATCACCATATGAAATTCACCTGGCTGATAACAAATTTGCTCTCAATTTCGAACGAGCTGCCGAGTCAAAGAGAGAATGACCATCGGCAGACATTCAGACTAGTTAAACATTCAGCACAGGACTGCAACTTTGCGTTTCTTTGCCTCTCTCTCTCTTCCTCCCTCTATGGTCGTCACTGTTTCAAGGTCAGGAGAATAAGCGACGACTGCAGCAACGCCAGAACAGTGCTCAGTAGCTGACGAATGTGTTGCACTGGCACATTTACAGAACCGAGGTTCGGCGACTTGGGGGAGAAGGAGGGAGCATGGGCTCCCCTTTGGGACACAAGCAGAAGCGCGAAAAAGCTGAGATTTTCTCTAAAACACTGCCCAGCCTCTTAGTCTTTTGCCGAAGCAGTTTCAGAGCATCTTGTGTTTTTTCCTGTTCCCATTTACCCAAATAAACTGTGTCCCCATTGAAGACGTTCAACAACTTTTTTTATGCGACACCCACCACCCCTAAATATATCGATAAATACGGTTTATCTACACAATTATGGGACCACCAAGAGTGTTTTAGTGTCCTCTCCTCATCCCCCTTCACTCCTCTGATTTTTGCAACGACGACAACGACACAACAACGGTAGCAAGAAAACTCACGTTTAGAGCCTCCTTCAGTTTTCTCAGTATCCTCGATTCTGTCGGCTTTGTCTGGAAAATAAAAAAAAGCTACCTTTATTTTGCGTTGCACAGAGAGTCAAAGTTACAAACATGACACATATTCATTTTAAAACGACACCCTTTTCTTTCTCGCCTTACTTCGTAATTTTCGCAGAGAGGTATAATTAAATTTAGCTTCTTATTATACACATCCAGAACATAACATAAATCTGTATTTTTCTGGCTGTGCCTCCTCCTTTGTTTTTGCTGCAGTATTTCATTAGTGAAGTAACCTTCAGCAACAAATAGCAGTTGGCAGCTAATGAGCCACATCATTAGTATGCATACTTTTCATTACTGTAAAAGTGGCACTACATTATATGCTAATCAAGCATGCATATGCAAATACAAAAGAACAATATGCTATATTATTTTCCTGTATTACTCACAAATTCATTGTGTCCATTATCAAAAACTACTTATGACATTGACTGCATGATATAGTGCGACCGATATTATGCTGACATTCTTCCTCACCTGTCTTAAAAGGTGAATAAATTATGATAATAATTTTTTATGTTTTCACACGAAACTATATCACAGCCCTTAGCACGTTAAAAAAACTGACGGGTTCCATCAGACGACGTTCTGAAGTAATTCCAATAATCTATAATTCTCATATCCTGCGTCCTTCAGAAAGCATGATACAAACGAACATTCTTCAATTTTTTTCATTTTTTTTCCCACTCAAAGAAACTAGATAGTAATGCTGAAACCAAGCATGAGAAACCCAGCTGATTGTTGCGGTTCGGGGGGCGGGCAAACTTACAGCAGCATAAACTGCAGAGTGTGAGCAAAAAGAAAATCGTAGCTCAAACACGGTCACACCGAAGATGTCAGTGAATGATGGCTAAATTTTTGGGAATAACGATTCATGGGAAAAACCTTAGGTCAGCAAATTTGAGTCGATTCACTCAGACTTAACCAGATCGAGTCTGGGTCAGAATTGGTAAGTAATAATTAGCCAAGTTTGAGTCCGAGTGAGTCTGAATAAAACACTAGTGAATCTTGAGCTCGAGTGAGCACTTGCCGCAACATATATTTCTTCAGAGAATCTCAATGAACTCGACCTTTTGCTGCCGGCCTATGAGATAACTCCTACAACGGCCACTGGATGGAAGTGCGTTTTCATGAAGCAGACGTGCTCTCACGAACGGTTTCATCTCTCAGCATAGGCGTGCACATGAGGGGGGTAGGGGAGCACAAAGTCAGCCCTATACATTGACATAATAGGAAGGGGGGGGGGGGGGGGGGCGCTATGGTTAGTTGCCGGTAGGGCGAAGTGTTTCTATTGCTGAAATTTTAAGCAGCCTGGTTGTTCCTAGGTTATTTTTATGGTTTACTAAAGAATCTTTCGAGAAGGTCAATGAAGCCAAGTTTGAATGCAGTGTTTAGCCAGGTTATCTCAAGTTTGGTTTGTATTTTTGCTTACAATGCTTTTAAAAGTTAATTAAGCCACGATGTTTTATTAACATCAGGGTATACCGGCTGTTTCCACGAGTGTGCGAAAATTCCTCAAAATAAGAAAAAGCGATATTTGTGGGCTGACTACACAGTTGCGGCGTTAGATGTCTAGATACATAAATCATAGCATTAATTACAGAAATTGAAATAATTAATTCTTAAATTCCATTGATTGATATGTGGGATTTAACGTCCCAAAACCACCATATGATTATGAGAGACGCCGTAGTGGAGGGCTCCGGAAATTTTGACCACCTGGGGTTCTTTAACCTGCGTCCAAATCTGAGCACACGGGCCTACAACATTTCCGCCTCCATCGGAAATGCAGCCGCCGCAGCCGGGATTCCTTAAATTTCATGAAACAGGCGAAGAGCACAAGTGGGAGAATCGAAGCCCTTCTTTCAAAGATCCTGTCGCCGCTTTGACATTTACAAAAAGCAGCTGCTGCCAATTTTGCGAAGCGATTGAACTGTACCGACTTTACCACGGAAACCGAAGCGCCGTAGATGATTTGGTGAGGGGAGAAGCCTAACTGATTTTGCAGTGGGGGAGGCACGAAAATTAAATTCGTCATTCTTGTAGTCGAAATTCGGAAGTGTATTTTCGCATGGTTCATTTCGGAGCGTTCAACGTTACGCGCCCAACAAAATGCAACTCTTCCTCGCATATGTGCCCGGAAAGAGGGGGGGGGAGGAGTTGGCATTGAGGCAACATGCAGTTATGTCGCAATGCAGTTTGTTTAACACGTCGAACGTAGCAGGTTGGGAGGTTTGCACCCTACTGTGTAGCGTAACAGGAAGCGATCCGGAACTAGAAATAGCTATGAATGAAGCCACTCACTGACGCCGCTCTATAGGCACTGCAGGTCCCGCCGAAGGTCGGCAGATTTCTTCGCGCGAGAACGATGCAACGCTGCATTACTGTAGGCGCACAGGGAAAGATGAGGGAGGACGAGTCTTTAGTACATACGTAACGACACAGCACCGTATCCCTTGAGTACGACGGTACCGTCAACTTTTAGAGCTTACCAAGATTTTACGAGGGAACGCTTAAAAGCTAAAGCGTGCTAATATTTTTATTTTGACCGCAGCCTGCAACGGCAGGAACTAGAGGACGACAGTTCCAATCACTTTGTAATAGCGAATGAGCGAGGAAAAGTTTGATACTGGAAGCTGCCATTGCTGAGATGACGATGGCGGTGGAACCAAGGTCGATTGGTGGAACAGCGCATATCACGGAGGCGCATATATTTAGGCAGAGGCTGCTGCGCCGCGCGGCGCACAAGCTACCCTAACACAGAAACGGCTGCTGGGGCGCATAGAAGTGACGTCATGCAATTTTTTGGTTAGGTGCTTTGTTTTAATCAAGGAGGTTCTATATTGGTCTTCTGGACTGGAGGTGCACCTCGACATGGCCTTCTAGATTTCCTTTGCCTGCCGGATTATCAGCGGTCATTTGGTAAGCGGCTTTTGTCGGAACTATGATGATGGCGCCACTTAAGCAGGAATGCCTTCAAATTATTTTTTACGTTTTTGAAGCTTATATGCAACAAAAATAACGTAAAAAGTTTTAAAAAGGCGTAAACAAATTTGTAATTAACTATACGTAAGTGCCGTCGTTATAGATGACAGGCATTTTGCCCTCATTCAGCAGGCAACCCTTCGATGCAAGGCATAGCCTTCCAAACACGGAGGAAGGAAAAAGGCACGGAGGAAGAAAAAGGTAAGGAGAGGCCCTGACTTCACTCGTTGTGAAGCCGCGATGAAGCCGGAAGTCGGCCATATTGAGTAGGCAAATTCTCCTCTCTTGTTTACATATGAATGCGAAGCAGAAGGCGCGACTCCCTCTCCGGCTCGGAAAGCACGTGGGCTGCGCAGCGCGTGTGTCGTGACGATCCGAAACTAATGGAACTGGGCTCATCACTCAGAGCCAGCGGGACACCTTCAGCGAAATCGCTTCGTCCGAGTAATAACAAAGAGTAACAGCTCGCTGACAACGAAGCAACTACGAAAGAACGCGCGCTAGATGCACTGACAACGGCGAGTGCTTTCACGTCATTAATTCAGCAACTGTACAGACAACACGATCGGTCGTGCGCCTTCTACGGTTGCATTCCGCCACGCGACTGACGCAGCGTCCTGCCACTGTGTCCGTGTTCCGCGTGAAACTCACCTGCGTCAGCATTCTGCGACCGTGGTGACTTTGAGTACGGTGCTAGTGACAGCTGAACGTGGTTGCTGTTACGTTGAGATTACCTTCCTCCGTGGAAAAAGGTAAGGAGAGGGCATGCCCAGCCGGCGCAGGGCGTAAAAAATGTGGCGGAAATGACATCATGGCGGCCATAGTCAGTAGGCACAATGGCGGCGTTGTTATGGTTACGTGTTGCGCAGTGAAGCTGGTCTAGCAGTGAGCGGCCGCGGCTGGCGGCGGAATGTGTGCCTCCCCAGGTCTCGTGCTGAGCCGTGGCGGACAATATCTGTGCTCTGCGCCGCGTTATTGGTTACGCAGTGTTCGTCCGGCTGTTACATTACTCTTAGCAACGTTTACAAATCTCTTTGTCCATCACGGGGTTCCAACAGTGCGTAGAACAAGTGCATATCCATGTGTCGTGTGGCGGTTGACGCGGATGAAGCAGTTAGTGTTCAGCGAAATGGCGTTGGGCACCATGACGAAGCTGAATGACGACGAACGCCTTGCAGGTCAGTGACGGTTGAGCAGTGCTCCTGCTTGTGACAACGGACGACGCTGTTGAGCCCAGCAAAACGCCGTGAGGACCATGTGCACATACGTAGTTTCGTGTTGTGTGTGTACAGTAACAACTTGCAGGTGCGTATTAAAACACATTTTCTGTTCCGCTTGGTACACTCTCCACCAGCATTGCATGTAATCTCAACGTAACAGCAACCACGTTCAGCTGTCACTAGCACCGTGCTCAAAGTCACCACGGTCGCAGAATGCTGACGCAGGTGAGTTTCACGCGGAACACGGACACAGTGGCAGGACGCTGCGTCAGTCGCGTGGCGGAATGCAACCGTAGAAGGCGCACGACCGATCGTGTTGTCTGTACAGTTGCTGAATTAATGACGTGAAAACACTCGCCGTTGTCAGTGCATCTAGCGCGCGTTCTTTCGTAGTTGCTTCGTTGTCAGCGAGCTGTTACTCTTTGTTATTACTCGGACGAAGCGATTTCGCTGAAGGTGTCCCGCTGGCTCTGAGTGATGAGCCCAGTTCCATTAGTTTCGGATCGTCACGACACACGCGCTGCGCAGCCCACGTGCTTTCCGAGCCGGAGAGGGAGTCGCGCCTTCTGCTTCGCATTCATATGTAAACAAGAGAGGAGAATTTGCCTACTCAATATGGCCGACTTCCGTCTTCATCGCGGCTTCACAACGAGTGACGTCAGGGCCTCTCCTTACCTTTTCCTTCCTCCGTGCTTCCAAATTAGCAAACGCCAAAATGGCCAATCGCAAAGGCCGAGTACAAAAACCTTTTTTTTTTTTCTACGTAGGTAGCGCAGTCATAGATGACGGGCGTTTCGTGCTCATCTGGCAGGCAAGGGAGATCTAGGAGGCTATGACCCTGATAAGTGACGCCGGTCACCACCATATTGGAAAAGGAAAGACTCGGAAGCAGACGACAAAGTGCGCTTCGTAGCAGTTAAAGAATTTACAAGGCTATGGTAACTTCGTACGTTGCTTATGGCTGCTCAAATTGCATCAAAAAGACGTCTAGGATCACTTTTCACGTGTAAGTATTCTCGCTTCGTTCGCTGACGATCGCCTCTTTTTTCGCGTATTTTGTTAAATTAGAAACAATATAAAAGGAGAAATGCTCGTTGACACGACGTTGTCCCTGAGTTTTAAGTTTTTGGACGAAGGACTTGCGGTCTGTGGCTGCACGTATAAAACATTGGAGCGAGTAGGACGTCTGAATGCCCTTTGAATTCCAAGTTTTCTGGTGTTGTCTTACAAGGCAAGGCTGACGGCGAGCATGCATATTTTTTTTGGTAAGTGAATATTGAATTTAGTGCATGTTTATTGAGGAATTCGCAAACGTAGAGAACATTTCCATGCCGTGATTATCCGTGTTACAGATTTTAGAAAGACAGTCCTCTGCTTCCTGCCTGGGAACGTGCTGTTCAAAGAAATAGTTAGAGGGCTACGGGCGGTGACCACCTCTGTTCTATTTATTTCGAAGAATGCTGCTTCGACAGAATGGGGCAGACCACCAGACTGCAGCTTGGCAGTGCACCTACGATTTTTCCTGCTTTCCGAGCGCATCTGCAAAAATTTGTTAGTTTCTACCTCCTTGACGTTTCCTCAACAGAATGTAGTCACAAAAATAAGCAATTGCGTCTAAAACAAGATGAGACACCTTTGAAAATCCGTTCTATCTTTCTGACGAAACCAAAACACCGATAGACGAAGTTGTCAACATGAGTGAGTGGCCCCGCCGTGGTGGTCTAGTGGCTAAGGTACTCGGCTGCTGACCCGCAGGTCGCGGGTTCGATTCCCGGCTGCGGCGGCTGCATTTCCGATGGAGGCGGAAATGTTGTAAGCCCGTGTGCTCAGATTTGGACGCACGTTAAAGAACCCTAGGTGGTCGGAATTTCCGGAGCCCTCCACTACGGCGTCTCTCATAATCATGTGGTGGTTTTCGGACGTTAAACCCAACATGTCAATCAATCAATCAACATGAGTGAGTGGCATTATATCAAACATCAAGCTACCTCGCTTCTAGGCTCTGAAGACTGCGCTTGCCATGACAGCACACGTCGCCAACGGAAGTTGATAAATGTTTTGCATAACTAACGCCGCTGCAATCGTTCTTATAAGTGGTTCATTTGGGGTACGTTTCCTGGAGTTTGTTGGTTGCACGCGACATCGGTGCTTCGGTTTTGGTTCCGCTTGTAAATTGATTAGAATTCGATAACTCTAGAACAATTACTGGCGACTCCCAGTTTACTTAATTACCTCTATTTTCTAACTTTAGGTTTAATTATTTATTATTTCAACTTTCTTATATATATTCTCTGGTAATCTGCCGGCACACATACAAGCACATATATGAACGAGACGAGCAAATGCCGCGTTCCCCTGGATCGGGAGTAACAGCAGGCGCATTTCTTAAAACACCCTATATATACTACAACCCTTTTGTACCGCCAGCTCAATATGCGAAGCATCCCTGGAAAACAGATTGATCTGAAAGCGTGCAGCTGACAATGAGTGCATGAGATAATTTGTTTCATAAACAAGAAAAGGCATTTATTCGTCGGTGTAACCTAAAGGTGGTTTACATCATTTTTTTTTTATTGTAGAACTGCAAACCGACGCGCGTATTCCATTGCGGTCTATGGGGGTTCCGCCTTGTTTTTCCTCTAGCAATATGGCCACCGGCGGCTTCACTTGCTCTCGTTTACAGTGTACTAGAATAGGGGTAGTGGGCTCAGAGACATGCACTGCCTGAGGCACCTCATCTGGCCGAGGGGTGGCGCCACAAGCATTTTTTCTTGAAAGGTAATGTGGAGTTTTGCGGCTACGCAGTCAGACGGTGCGGGTTATTTTAGCGGGGTGTGTAGTTGTACGCAAGTTATTGCTGTCTATACGGCAGGATTTGTGCCAACACGCGTTTCTCGTTAAGAAATGCAAAGGGAGCACGCTGCCGCTATGATGTCAGTGCTGGATCGAGAGATGTTGGCGGCTGCTTCCCGGAGAGCCGCTACTAACTGATGGCTCGTCACTAATGTAATGAGTCTATAGATTACAGGAACCCGATGTTCGCACCTGTTCACGCACAGCGATATCAGACGTTTTCGAATGTTGTATGTTCCTTGAACACACACTCGTCGATGCTTGCCAGGAGTTAGCGGTGAATGCAGGCCCAAGTTGACGGAACTCGCCAGTCAAGTTGCAAAAAAAGCGATGCACTTTTCGCGTGGGAAAATGCTTTACATGCACGAGAAAGTACGCGTTGTCTTAAAGTAATGGGTGTCCACAACGTCCCCTTTATTTGTGGGAAATTACTACCTTGAGATTTCAACCAGCAATATATTCCAGCTGTTTAAATAAAAATGGATACATTGGAGCACAGCTTTCTTGTGACGGGTGCATTGCTTTATGTAAACTCAAAAACACTTTATTTTCAACTCTGACTTTTACATTGTGCACTTAGGGCAGCACTGACATAAAAATTACGCCCAAAACATCCACCAAACGAAATAAAACTTAAAGAACTGT